TAGGGACGTCGGCATCTCAGAGCACCAAAACAGGCCGCGCGAAGTGCGGTAACCTGGGCAGGAAACCGACCGGACGTATGGTCAGTTTGCCAAATACGTTCAGTTCGGGGGAAAGAACAACTAATACTTAAACCGAAAAGAAAGTCATTCCATTTCAAAATAAGGGAGTATATTTCAAAAAAAAAAAATTTACAGGCCCGGAGCTATTTCCTCATTATCAGAAGGCACTTCAACAACACCCGAAGGTCCCGCCTCGCCCTCGGAATCTGGCTCACCATCTGCAGAATTGACCATCTCCTGAGTTATGCGCGAAGTGGATATGGCACTGATATCAAGCTCGGGGTATGTATTCCGGATCATCCACCRGCTTAGCTTGAAACCCCTTCGGTACGAATCCACAATCAGGTCGTCAAAGCCCGGCGAGGTGATGTACTCATCGACGGCCTTCTTCTTGGCATCTTCAATACCTTGAGAGAAGATCTGCGTCCTCTCCCTAATGTCCTCCTGAAGATATTCGACCTAATGCTGCAAATCCAGCCTCAAGTCCGCCATATGTTTCACTACGACTCCCATGGCCTCGGCATCTCTTTGAGACCTCGCCTGCCTGGACTGTGCAATGCGAGCAGCCGCCTCAGCAGCATGAAGAGCCTCTTCGGTAGCTCGCGCCTGCCTCGAGCTCCTTTCCACCTGGGCCGCCAAGGCGTGAGTAGAAGATTTCACCTACCGAAAGGAAAGAACAAGTGATTAAAAGAACGATAGCAAGAAGGATAAAAGCAGAAGAGCTCAATAAAAAGTCTGACATACCACCATGGCATGAGTAACAGCACGACAGGCCACATAGTGCAGAGGGAGATCAGTCCACGCCATGACCTCCTCGGGAAAAATGGCCTCCTTACTCTTTTGAAGAGCGTGGGTTGGCGACAACACACTCCTAAATTCCCTTGGGGGCCCCGAGCCCGAGGGCCCAGCTCGCGTATAAGCAGACCCAGAGTAGGTGGGAGCCCCTGTGTAAGTAGTTTCAGCATACGGGCCCCCTGCCACTTCTTGCATTGGAGGAGCCATCTCGGGCTCCCTGGGCGGATCCTCTGACGGGTAGTCTGGAACCTCAGGCTCTGCATCCTGGGGCAGCTCGGTGCGAGTTCGCTTGGCAACTCACTTCCTCCTCTTCATGCCTTGAAACAAGTGCCCACCATGGATCCCTCCTGAGTCCATCACACATGCAAAAAAGAGTTCGGCATCAGAAGAAAGCAAGAGACAGAGCAAAATAGAACCTCTAAGTAAGGAACCTACCTCAGGCCGGCCGCAATGAGCTTGGCCTCCGTCAGATACTGTTGACACTTCAGCCCAAGCCGCGCCCATTGCTGGAGGCCCTTTGCCGTCTCCTTGTCAAGCGTAACCCCGGAGTTAGGGGCGGCCATCCCCCACCCGGTCAGAAACGGCCACCCCAGCACATTTTGCACCCCAAAGTAGTCCCGCTTCCACGCCGGGACCTTATTAGGAAGCTCATGTAAAAGCTTACAACCAGGGCGAGGAGACAGGTAGTACGCTCGCCTACGCCCGGGGAGGAGACCCGCTTGCTTCTTAAGCATTAAGATGGTAGAGAAGATCTCCAAGTCTAAAGAAAAGCCCTGTTCGCAAAATAGGGAGATTGTCCCCACCAAATTACGAATGGAGTTCGGGTGAAGCTGGCCGACTGTAACGCCGAAGTGATTCAAGACCTCGACAAGGAAGGGATAGAAAGGCAATCGCAGCCCTGCAGCGAGCTGCTCCCGGAATATCACGATCTCATCAGGACCGTGTTCCCAAGGAAAGCTACCCGAAGGTATGAAATAAGCG